ACTAAACTATCTTTCTAATTATATGGTAGTTAATTTTTTTTATGTTTTTCTGTAATTAAAATATTACCACCATTATATTGTTATTAATTATTTTTATTTTGTTTTTTTCAGATATTTCCTGAGTAGCAGTTTGCTTCGTGTGGAATGTGGGCGCGTAAAGATTATGACCAACTTCTGTTTTTGTAACTCACGAAAGAATCAAGACGAAAACTTTTGGTTTTGATTTTGATTTATGTTATTTAAATTTGTGACCAACATTATGTATGTATTATGTGACCAACATTAGGAATTTTTATCATTTGCCAACTTTTGTTTATGTATGGATTTATATTATTATGTCATTTTTTGATTTTTTTTAAGCTATTTTTCATTTGCCAACATTAGTTATTTTATTTATGTATTTATATTATTATATCATTTGCGAACATTACAGGTTATTTTTATATTTTAAATAATTGTAAAACAGGGATTTTTTTTTTGTAATTTTTTTTGAGACGGCAGAACACCCCGTCGCAAAAAAAAAAAAAAAAAGCTGTGCCAGGCTTTTTTGCGACGGCAGCCATACCGTCGCAAAAGGTGTTGAATTTATTTGAGAAACAAGGCTTTAGCGACGGTGAAATTGCCGTCGCCAATAGTCATAAATGCCACATTTTTTGCGGCGGCATTTTTTGCGACGGAATTTTGCCGTCTGCAAAATCTTATTAGCGACGGAAAGCTTGTGCTGTCGCAAAAAACCCAGATCTTCATCCACTATCGGCGACAGATATTTGCCGTCGCAAAAAAGAACTATTCCCGTCGCAAAAACAACAGTGCCGTCGCTAAAGATCTTTTGCAACCCCCCCTGTTGCGACCCCCACTTGCCGTCGCAAAAAAAAAATTTACCGTCGCAAATAGCTTTTGAGACGGCGTTTGGATTATTTGCGACGGCGTTTTGCCGTCGCAAAAAACAATTTTTTTTTGTAGTGCCTTATCCTTATTTGGTTAGAAGATTTGGGAAGAGATTTAGAAAGAAAAAAGAAAAAAATATGTGAAATTAAATGAAATATAAATTTATTTTATTTACATTTCACCTACTTTTTCCCTTTCTCTTTCTAAATCTTTTTCCAAATCTCTCAACCAAATATACAATGTTAAAGTCTGAGAACTTGTTATGATCCATATCCAAAACCAGAGAATTAATTAGTGTGTTTGGTTTTAATTTTCTGAATTTAATTTTTTGAAAATTGAGTTTTTTGTTTTTCGTATTTTTTTGTTTGTTTTTAGTGAATATTTTTTTATAATTTTAAGCAATTTTTTTACTTTTTTACATACACCTTACTTAAATGTATTTAAATAGTAAAATATTTGTAAAAAAAATATTTTAAAAAATTAATAAATTCATAAAAATATACTGAATTTTTGATTTTTTTATTTATATTTTTGGTATTTAATGAATTTTTTTAAAAAAATTCATAAATATTATACAGTGTTTTTATGTTATATGTGTTTAAAAATTAAAAAAAAATTACTTAAAATATTAAAAAAAATTTAGTGAAAATAAAAAAAAATATGAAAAACGAAGAAGTAAATTTTTTAAAAAAGTTATGTGGCTTTATTCCAATGAATCCAAATACCCCCACAAAACCCTAATTTGGAACCATTGCCACATCCATTCATGTAACCAAACAACACTCCCCTTCTTCAAAATTATGACTAAAGGGTTGCTTGGGATGATCTAAATAAGTGTATTTTTTATTTTTTTATGAAAAGATGTGCAGAAAAGTGGAGAGATGATGTGATGAAAAAAAGATAAAAAGATAAAAAGATGAATTATTTAGGGGATGCCAAACCACCCCTAAGATTAGAAGCTCGCCAAATGTGTTTGGAGAAAATACAGTGGAAACAAAGATGCTCCAATGTTTCTTCTTCAACCCCACATCTTGAGCAAATAGGATCTAACTGAATTCCCCTCCGAGCTAGAATATTTTTAACCAGTAAAATTCTGTGTAAGAGCTTCCAAATAAACATAGTCCATTTTGGAGGCAAGTTGCTGTTTGATAACATGATTAGAAGTGAGTTGAGACTTAAAAAAAGTATAAACACGTAAAATAGACTAAAATAAGTTAATAAGATAAAATATTATATCTAAGGCCAAGTTTGGGAATTTGTCAAAAAGTTAAAAAGTCAAAAAGTTATTCAAAAAGTCAAAAAGTTAACACTATTCACCAAAAGTCAACAATTACGACTGCACAACTCTCAATTCGAATTTTTCCCTATAAATTAATTTTTACAATTTTTATTACACATTTTTTCATAAAAAGTTAAAAAATTAACCTAAACATCCATATTTTTAACCTTAATTTTTTAGTCTAAAAAAATAAAAAGTACACTTATTTAGGACACCCTAAATAACCCTAAGAAATTAGCGTAGTTTTGTGGCCTAAATAAATGGAATCACCGATAAATATAAATAATTATCGCATTATTATAATTTCTACGCAATAGCCTTCTTGTCTAACCTGTTCCGTTGCCATTCATCGCTGCCAGTGCTGTGCCAAGTTTAGTTTTTATCTGTTTTTTTGCTCTTAAATCTCTCTCTTGAACTCACTCTATTCGCATCAGATTTCATATTCAAAAATCTCAGCAGAGAAAATATAAATTTGATAGGGGTTTCCTCAATTCGAATTGTATTGTGAATGAATTTTGATTTTCTATCGTTTATTTCCCCATGATTGTTTGCCCTCTCACCCTATTCTGGGAATGTTTGGGATTTATTTTTATTTTTTTTTAGAGTAGTTATTAAACATTATTTTGGAGGAAGAGTTTAGAAATTTTTTTTTTTTTTTTAATTTGTTTGGTATTATTTACAAAAAAAATATAAAAATGGAAAATTTATTTATAAATCTCATCTTGAAAAATGATGATTCATTTAGTTTTAATATTTTTTTTTTATAAACTAAATAGTCCCATTGATTTTGAAAATGTAGATTTAGGCCTCGTTTGGCAAGAGGCTATTTTAGCCAATTAGCCAAAAGTTACTAAATTAGCCAAAAAGCCAACAACTCATACCAAAAAGTCAAAGATTCTCTTTTCTCTCTACTGATCAGTGATGATTAGAAAAATTATTTACAAAAAAAATATAAAAATGGAAAATTTATTTATAAATCTCATCTTGAAAAATGATGATTCATTTAGTTTTAATATTTTTTTTATAAACTAAATAGTCTCATTGATTTTGAAAATGTAGATTTAATATATTATTTAGAAATTAAATTTCCGATTATATCCTTATTTCTATTATGTTTCATTTTTATTTTATTTTATTTTTGTGTGTGTGCGCCTGCGCACGCGCTAGAAAGGTAAAATACATAACTTATGGAAATTAAATTTGGGATGATTTGAGATATATATATATATATATATATATATATACGGAATGACTTGAAATATGAGATTTTTCAAATATTTCAAAATGAGTACAAAAATGATTTGAAATATGTGATTCTTTAAATATTTCAAAACGATGTGAGATTCTTTAAACATTTCAAAAAAAGTACAAAAACTCTTTAATAAGTTTTGGGCAAATGTATAATTTTAAACTATAACACTCTAATGTAGTAATGTAACACTCCAATATAACACTCTAAAAAAATTCCTTAGGCCATGTTTGTTTGGACGGATTGAATGTTGGATTAGCATTCTTATGACTAATAATCATATGACTACGAATCCCTTTAGATTGTGTATTCTATCCTATGGTTTGATTAAGTTATGATTATGAGGGATTAACAAAATATTATCCATTCAAATGTTTATATAAGAGGATAGGACATGACAGAACATGGGACATCTAATATATTGACCATAATACCCCTATTATAATTATTATAAAATTTTGCACTAGCATATGTTATAATTTTTAAAATGCAAATATCCCTATTGTTGCTTCACATCCATTTCGATTCATTTGAACAAAATTTAACCCAATTTTTTTTAATAGAAAAAGTCAAAAATCATTCAACTATAAAATTTATATATACATAAGCAACCATTAAAAAAAATACACTGCTATTTTAATCATCTAACCATTCATTGCCCAAATTCAAAAAAATATTTATTTGAACAAAATTTAACCCCCATTTTTTTTAATGAAAAAATCAAAAATCATTCAACTATAAAATTTATATATACACAAGCAACCATTAAAAAATATGTACTGTTATTTTAATCATTCATTGCCCAAATTCAAAAAAAGTATTCATTTGAACAAAATTTAACTATTTTTTTTTAATAGAAAACATCAAAAATTTAACTATAAAATTAATATACATAAACAACCATTAAAAAATATTAACCGCTATTTTAATCATCCAAACCATTCACTGTCCAAATTCAAAAAGACACTAATTTTAAAAAAAAAAATTAACTCTTTTTTTTGAACAAAAAAATATCAAAAATCATTCAATTATGAAATATAGCTATTTAGAAAAATAATGATATCAGAAAATATAAAAAACGGAGCAAATATATTTATGAGAAGATGCATACAAAACACCAATTGTAGACCTGTTGAATTAAAAGTCTATGGTTGTAATTAATGATTACTACCATTCATAATTGTTATAAATAATAATATTATTGTTCTTAGATCATCTCCAGTAGAGAATATGCCAATATCATGTTTTCAGTTGCATGTTGAAATTGTTTTGGATTTTTTTTTCAAATATTTAAAAAATTTATTATTTTTTAAAAATATTTACAAATTTAAAAAATATTTTATGGATTTTTTTTTAAATATTTAAATGAGGGAAAAAATGAAATCTATTAGTTATGATTTCCTAAGACAACAATAGCACAAGATTGCAATTGTAGTGATATTTCTTCTTTGAAAATCAACACTGGTTCTAGAAAGACAGAGAAGGTAGAGACGAAACTCTGTAAAATTAAATCTCTTCAAATATATATATATATAGTCAAGGTAAATTGGGTCATTTGATGAGTTAGTCCAGACTTTGGCTTAATCTTCCAATTTATATCTTAACCTTCTTTGTGGGATTGAATAGTCCATCATATGTGAGATACCATATTCGAATGGATTATTAGTCCATACTTCAATTTTTTAACCAAATATCGGATTAATAATTTTATTGGACTACTAGTCCAATCTCAAGCATATATCCGCCCAAACAAATATTGCCTTAGTGTACTATTCCCAAATGCAACACTCTAATATAACATACAAAAAAAATTCTTTAGCTTACTTTTTCCAAATGTAATATTCCATAAAAAGATATGAGATTTTTCAAACTATTTCCAAAGGGGTACAAAAATTCCTTAGTAAGTTTTGGACAAATATATAATTTCAAACTGTGAGTGTTACGTTTAAGAAAAGTATACTAAGGAGTTTTTTAGTATTTTTTATGTGTTATATTGGAGTGTTACGTTTGATATTACACTGATTGGAGTGTTACGTTTAGGAAAAGTATAATAAGGAGGGTTTTTTTTTGTGTTACATTGGAGTTTTACGTTTCAAAAAATTACACTAAGAAATTTTTTTTAAAGTGTTACATTGTTACGTTTGAAAAAAATACACTAAGAAATTTTTTTGTATATTACATTGGAATGTTATAATACGAATTGTCCAAATGTGTAATTTCATATTTGGAGAAATCCACTATTATCTTTAAAATATTAAACTCACAAGTATAAGAGACTATTCTTTTGTGTAATTTTTATTTTAATAGGACTTTTGAATTTATTGGTACTTCACCCAAAAAAAAAAAAATTATTAATATTTATCATATTTTTATAAAAAACCTTCTCATCTCCAGTGATCAATAATTCCCCTTAATTAATTCATTGACGTATAGTCAATTCAAAAATAACAAGAACATAGAGGGCATTTCTGGAACTCAATATATTTTCTTTCCCGCCATTTCCCTTCATGTATTCACAACAGCCTCAATAACAGATATAACCGCCTCACAGTCTCCTCTGTCAAGACCTCTCTCAGCAGCAAAACCTCTCTCTCTCTCTCTCTCTCTCTCTCCATCATGAACTGCCACAATCCGATCCACCATTTTCCTGCTATCATCATCACTCCCCTCTTCGCCTCCATGCTCGCCCTCGCCTCCACTTCGCCGCCACCAGAAGCCGCCAGAGATTGCTCCGGCGCGGTGGTTGCGTTCTCGCCGTGCCTTCCCTTCATCTCGTCTCCGCCGAACAACGTCTCGTCCTCGCTCTCCTCTCAGTGCTGCGATATCTTCAATTCGCTTTTCGACAACCGCGGTGCCGACTGCCTCTGCTACTTTGTGCGGCAGCCTCTGATCCTCGGCTTCCCTCTCAACTCGACGAGACTTCTTTCTCTCTCTTCTCGTTGTCCTCTGACAAATTCTGGATCAAATACGAATGGCTCTCTCGAATCTCTCTGTTCAGGTTCGTTCGTCAGTTCTTGAATGTTGATCTCTTAATGAATTGAATTTGTGTTTCTCTGAATTTCTACTTCATTTCAATTTCTGGTTAATTTGCGCCGATCTTCGCAATACAGTGAAATTCAAGCCACAGTGATATGTATATATCGATTTCATCGTTATAATATTTTAAGTGCCTTGAAATATAGTTCGATTTCTAGTGTTAATTCACACTTCCATCCAAATTTAATTTCCATTTATGATTCCAGTCTACAAACTGATGCTTTTCAAATTTTTTTTTTTTTTTTTTTTTTTTTTTTTTTTTTTTGGATTTTATTATCAATTGAAAGCATATTTTTAACGACAGTTCAAGTGATTGATAGATTTATTTTTCCAATTTTTGTTGTCAGGATCGTCACCACTGCCTCCTCTGCAACGCATAACAGGTACTTGTGATGATCTTTTCATTCCTCATAATTCTTGATTCTCCTACAATTTTCTTTCTTACTTCTATTTTTGGGAGTTAGTTTTTTCAGTTCAATTTATTTTGGTTTTTAGTTAAATTTTTAAAAAATTGTGTCAATTTTATTATTTTTTTAGATTGTCTAGACTAAATGATTCTAACAATTAGAAATAATTATTTTTCTTTTTCAATCTACAATCAAATAAACTTGACTCAATTGAAACACTTTAAAACAATTTAAATATTACAAACCAAAATAACATAAATAACATACTTTGAAGAATAAAAATATAATTAACCCTAAAAATAATATAGGGATGTCTATGTGATTAGAGATTGCAAACAACATAAAGAGCTAATAGCAGATCATAGAAACTGACTTTAAATTACCATAAGATTAACATGAGAATGAGATAATGCTTATTGCATAGCTAGTAGATGTGACTCAACCATTTATTTAGTTTGTTGTTTAAGGCTCAAAATAAAATAAAAACTCAAAAAAAAATTATTGCTGGAAGTCTTATTTTTTAAGATAAAATCTCATTTTGATATTAAAATTTTAATGTTTAACCGAAAATCTAAAAAAATCTTGACCTGCTAATGTTGACTAGCCACCCACCCCATAACGCAACTAAATTTGCAAATAGTGATGGAAATGTAAACCACAGGACAGCTCACACAAGCTGAGTAAATATGATCTGTCTAAAGATGTCAAGACATTTCTTCCACTGTTTTGCAGGTTCTATTAATTCTCCACCTCCTCCTGTTGATGCTTCTGCAACACAAAACCCGTCAACCGCAATACCAAGCTCACCGCTTGAGTCTGCCAAATATTCACCTGCAGCAAAACAGATTTACTGCAGCGACTGGCTTTCTCTTGGACTGGTTATTTTACTTGTTCCCATCTTCACCAACCTTCACTGCCACACCCATCACTGATCCTCACCAAACAGATCCATACTCATTTGTAATTTTGCCTTTCATGAAGCAAATTACTGTAATGACACTGACATTCGCTCCCCTGTTGTGTTTTCTCTGAGAAAATTCACCTGATTTTGAGACTGGCAGGTTCTTTATTTGTTCATCTAACCATGATGTGGTTATAAGAATTTGTCAACAGTTCAAGAAAGCAATCCATAGAGCAATGATTTTGGAAACAGAAACCATTTTCTTCTAGCTTTTGATAACACCAACCAATCATTGTATGCCAAACACTAACAGGGCAAAGCAAAGCATATATGAATGTTTTTCTGCTTCTGCGACATAAATACTGATCTATAATGTTTCACAAAAATCAGAATCACAGTGGGAAAAATTCGCAGATTGCTTTCATATAACAAGACTCGGAAGAAGAAAATGTGTTGCCTGTTGCTTCCACAAGAAAGTTACCAACAAAGTTTACTTCCAACCATCCGACCACTCAGTTTCATCAAAAACAGGTTCATTGAACTCTTCGGCCTGATGGGTCTGTTCCTCGCATTCAACTTCATCAGATGGCTGAGGGTTCTCTTCTTCATAGCCCAAGTTGTTCTCTTCCGCGGGGCACTCCTGAGGTGAATTTTGCCTTTCAGGGAGAGGACAACCTTGATAGGAGCCATTATCCACACAACGCCATAAGAACATATTCCAGTATAAATCCTGCCAAATGCAGCGGCTAAATATCAGTAATTTAAACGACTAAAGCCCAGTCGCAGTGGGTCAGAGACTTCCAATGATTTGAAGCTCCATAAGAAACAAATTATGAAATACATATTATGAAGGTAACTTATATTATGAATACTGTATGGTTCCTGCAGTGTCATTACAAAGAGTTCACCATGTCAAATAACATTTTAGACCGCAAAGAGACAAATGAAATGCTGATCAGAGAGAGCGAGAAATGAAACATTTTGGTGTTACAAAATTCTATTAGGGAAAGAAATTACTATATAGTTAGTCCTACATTTAGACACACCATTTTCTACTGCCTACACACAATTGTAGTGGGACCTGCATCATCACTATAGAAGCAGGCGGTAGAAAATAGTGTCTCTAATCTTAGTTAATTTGACAAGTTCGGGATTACCTTGCCAATGATGTGTGGGTTCCCAATAACAATCAGCAAAGACCTGGCACGGGTAATGGCAACATTGAACCTTCTGGGATTGCTCAAAAATCCCAAGCAATGGAATCTGTCAAACTCGTTGTGCTTCACCGTTGATCGGACAGTAGATATAATGATTACTTGCCTTTCTTGTCCTTGAAATTGCTCGACACTGCCAACCTTAATGCCAGAGCAACCCAAACTTTCAAGGGTATTACTCAATTTGAGTACTTGTTGCCGATAAGGTGTTATGACTCCAATATCTTCCCCATTCAACCCCTTTTTTTCCGTCAGTTTTGTGATGATCTCAACAACCTTGCTTGCCTCAAATCGATTAAACCATGATGGATTATTCCCTTCCCGCTCGTCATAGCCTTGGATACCAATGAAAAGGAGAGGAAATTCCATGTTAGGAAGGAGGTCCACCCAAGTCACAGAGGAATCAGAATCATCTTTGAATGCGATTAATTCTCCGTTATAAAACAATTGTGAAGGAAGATACAGAATTTCCGGGTGACATCGGTAATTCCGAACCAGCTTCGTGACGTAATTTTCATTCCCAGGATCATACAACTCGCATTCAAACAGCCTTGACAAGTACGACTTTCCCAACCCATAAGTCTCGGCATCTTTGGAGTGAATTACAGGACCTAGTTGCATTGGGTCTCCAGCAAGAACAACCACTGTCCCCCTTCGACAAAGTTGGGATACAGGAATCATGGTATCAGGCTCCGAAGCTTGGCCCGCCTCGTCCAAGAAAATGTGAGAAAAGTGGCCTCGCCTTACGCCTTCTGCATAAAGAAGAGCAGCACTCATGTATGTCGATATGACAATTTTGTAACGTATTAGCTTCTTGAGTGGAGGACATGTGAAGGCTGACTCTTCAAAGAAACAAAAGCAGTGAAAATCAGACTTAATATCTTCAATAGATCGAGAAGGTGCATTGAGCCTAAGAATATCTCTCTCTTCAACCGCAACAACCTTCTCACAAAGCAGTTTCTCGAGTATAAGATCGGCTGCACTATTCGAAGGTGCACAGACAAGAACCTGGGCATCATTTCGCTCTGTATAGAGCTGAAGGATTGCTCCTACGAGTGTCACGGTCTTGCCTGTACCTGGAGGCCCATGGATCACATAAGGCGGCCCTTCTTTGCAACCAAGTATCATCCTAATCGCATGGTTCTGCTCCTCATTGAAAACAGAAGACATTGGGGGCAGTCGAGGAGGTCTAATCAGTCTCTTTCTAGTTGATTCACTTGGGAAGAGAAACTCTGTTTCTAAACCTTTAGAAGCTTCAACGGCCTGATATAATCTTCTCATGTTTATTCGATTATAGGTGAACTGTACATTATAGGGTTTCCCAGCTTTGTGATGAAAGTGAAATTCTTCATCAAACTTCAAATGTACTTCTTCAGCCTCAACACGGTAGATATAACCCTGTGCAAGACACATACAAAGAGTAATCTTTCAATATACTTCAAATTCTAAACTAGTACAAAAATATATACACAATACAAATGGGTAAAAGAAGGAAAAGAATTATAGATCTACCATTTTATTTAATACATTTTTACCCATGCGAAGGTGCTTTGTCATTAGTGGACTACTCAATTTAAGGCCCTTTATTTGCCTGCCTAGTAACAGATATGGAAATCAGGAAACCTTCTATTGTATATAGTTTACAAATCATACGTTAGTTCATGTATCCAATTCTATAGTTCTGTTGTATGTACTATATTCATATCATGGGTGACATGACAATATAAATTATAACTAGAGAAAAAATTCGAAAAGGGTGGAAACAATGAATCAAAAATGTAATATTCACAAACCAAACCAAACCAAGCCATAAGTCCCATAAAAAATGTAACACTCAACAAAGATGACAAATTCAGAGTCAAATATTCATTCTTGAGATCTAAAATCAAAAAGGGTTTTGTTAAACGAGTGCCCAAGGGCCTTTGTTAATAAGCTTAAAATAGTGGTACATTGAGTATGTGCCATAAAGAATGTATAATCATTTTAAGTTTTGGTAAAAATACCCTTAGGGCACTCGTTACCAAGATCCTACAAAAACAATTAGGGCATTAATTAATATATTTCCTGAAGTATGACTATCATTCCTATGTAGAAGACTAAAGCAAAAAAGTAAACATAAACCATGTAGACTATATACCCCATTGATTTATCATCATGGCTTGAAGCAGGTGTAAAAGATCAACTCTATGATATTTTTACTACGTCTTACCATAACAGAGGATTGAGCAAAAAAGAGCAAATGGTTAGGAACACCAAGATGCAAAAAGGATTAGTAATGGAAATTCCATCGGATCAAATTGGCCCAAGTTGTACATTCGTTAGCCCATGCTAAAGTTTAAGCCAATTTCTGCCAATATCCATGTTTCATTACATTGATCGATCAAGTGCAAACAAAACTACATGTTAGAATAAAATTTGTGCATTCCAATGATTCACTTAAAAGAGAGAATATAAAAGCCTAAATTCTGTATATAGTTATATAGTATTTACTTTCCAGTAAGATAATGTTAGATTTTTGCTTTCCTGAGTTACATATTTGAAGTTCTCACAATGTACCCTAAAATAATATTCTGTGTAGCTTCAAAATTTTTGAGAAAGGTGTACAAAGAAAGTCCAACACGGGGGATACATAAAAATGGCATCAGATTCTACATACTATAGCTAGCAGGTGATTTGTATACGATGCAGGAAAGGGCAAAAAGGAAAGGAGAAGCAAAAGTGCATGTTACCTTTACACTTCAATGTACCTTTAAATGATGTTATAATCATCGTCACTAGACTCGCTACCATATGTTTAAAATAGCTTTTGTTGAAAATGTTCAAAGTGAGATATATTGTAGGTCTTGTGAATGGCATGAGATTACACCTACTTTGCATTTAGTTGAGGATACATGTTGACAATACACATTGATTTACCTTTGTATCACATACTGCAAGATACAGACAACTACGCAACCACATGAAGATCTTAAGCTGAAAATTGAACTTTTCAGAAATGGTTTTCTTTTGTAAAACCAAGGAATCTAGCGTAGTAAAAGGTAAAAAAAGTATAACATGTAATTGTGCTAGAATCACCTAGCAACCAAACTTAGCTACATATTTCCTTGGAAGGGCCATAAGTACAACATACTAGATATATGCTCTGTTATCAGAATCTTACGATTCGCGATTCGATTCACGATTCGATTCACAATTTTTGTAAAATCGATACGAATCTATGGGTGAATCTATTTTGGAAGTGAATCTCTAGTGAATCGTACGATTCACAATCGATTCACGATTCGATTCACTTTTTACGATACATGCAATTTTTGAAATTAGGGCAAATTACATATACACCCCTCCAGGTTTGATTTTTGAAATTATTGTGTCCGACATATTTCGTCTCTTTTTTTGTCCATCTTTTTGGTGAAAATTACATAATACAACTTCTAGTAGTGTTTAATACCAAAATAACTAACGTATATACATGATTTGTTGTTATTTTAGTAATTATGGAGTTTTTAATAGGATCCAATTGGATTTAATCAGACCCAACATATTTTTAACCTTTCTTCTCATTTTTTTTCCTTTAAAAAATCATAATATATCTTCTAATGATGTTTAAAATTAAAGTTAAACTATGAATTATCTATTGCTGAGATCAGTTATATCTTTTAAAATGTTTTAGGTTTTAAAATAAAAGATTCTAAATAATTCTTTCTTATTATTTGCTCACTGTTACTTAGAAAAGTATGTATGCTTATTGTCCAAATATCAATATCGCTGTTAATTATTGTTATTTTGGAAATTGATAATTTGTCTATTTGGTTATTATCTTTATTAAGAATGGTTGATAAGAAATATCTAAAAAGAAAAAAAGGTAAGATGGTGATCTTACATATGAACTTTTGTTAACTTCTTACCTATTAAACTACGTGATTATCATTCAAAATAATATTTTCATAAATTTAAGTCTAAATATTTTATATTCATAAGATATATTTAATATCTAAATGTGTAGATATATGTTTTAAGTAATTTAAAAAAAATGACCGAATCTTTACGATTCACGATTCGATTCGATTCGCGATCTGGTACGAGGTCATTTCGATTCACGATACGAATCCCGATTTAACAACTATGGATATATGTATTGCCATACATACAATAATATCAATTTAAGTTCGATACAAAATAGGTCATATTTTTAGAAACACTATAGTAACATGCTTTGAAAATGATGGTTCCTGATTCAGATTGTATCATCTGATCCCAACACACACAAAAAATAATAATAATAAAAAGAAGTCCTGCACAAATAGGAATGGACCTGATAGGGACGAGTTCTGTCATTTGCATCTTCAGAGGCAAGCTTAGCATATATAAAATCTCCACACACAAGTGAAGGCCGTTTCTCAGCTAGTCCTGGGACCTCAAGGGTCAAAAATGGTCCCTTCTTCCCAAAAACGATGCACTCCATGTCATAACCCCTCATGTCTTCCTGATTCAACAAAACACCCGTATTAGTGCAACCCCCCCCCCCCCCCCCAACAAAAAAAAAAAACAACAACAACAACACATATCCTTAATTTTATTCTTTCCTTGAAAAAACAAAAAGTTACCTCCATTTTGATTTCTTCCATGTTCAACAGAGTAGTGAAGTAATTGCAATAATTTTCTTTTTTCAAACCTTCTGTGATACCAGTAGGGATATCTTTATTCTCGACCAATTTTCGGATATCCTTTGGGATCGGATATGAAGGCAAGCAAAATCTGGGCCCTCGGGTTGAAGCCTTTGCAGGACGTGCACCCAGAACATATGCATCCACAGCGTATGCATCTACAACCAACGGTTTCTTTTTCCTATCTCTACGGTATGGCTTGTTTGAAGCCAAAGACTTGGAGATTTTATCTTCTGCCAAAAGAAGGACCACCCGTTCAATTCTGTCGTCCCCTACATCAAAATGCACTGCTGTTGTGTGCAAGCCAACTCCCTTAGGTTTGCAAGATAGCCAAACACTTAAAGTTTGACCAGGCTGTAACACTCTGTCATCCAAGCAAAAGTACTCTAGGAATTCTCGGATGTACTCCATGTCTGAAGTTGGTGATGGAGGTTCCATCAGAGAAATGGTGAATGAGTCCTTTGGATTTGAGTCATAGATATCAACCTTCCAGAGTTCAACCGGTTCCATGGTGGTGTTCCTAATGGTGATCAGATCACTAGCGGTTTCTCCAACCGATATAGATTGAGGTTTTCCATTTACAACAGGGAATGGAACAGATACTACTATTGGACCCTCTTCATCTGGGTTGTAACTACACACTGATTTATCATCATCGTAATCAATGAACCCAATTTCTCCTCTGTCTGGGATCGAAGAGAACTCATCCCAATTCCCGCAAATCGTACTCATATCACCAAATTGTTTTTATCAAATGCACAACACAATCTGCGAGTTTCAATTAACACATAAAGAGTAAATCCCCATTCTGTCATATGCAAGACAAATCATATGCATTGCACATTGCTGCTACAAAGTATGCAACTACAAGAAACCCAATCCACAACCCAATACCCAATGGAACAACTACATTGTCATCAAAATGACATTACTAACAATAGGATCAACCAATATAAGAACGCTACTAACAAACATAACAAACCAATCACAAAACAATTGTTTGACTGTATATGTAATCCATAAGCACAATAATCAATATATATGTGTATATATGAGTTCTAATCGAAAATTTGTAACTGACCATGTTATCATAATTCATAAGAAATGGGATTTAATTAAGGAGTGCCCTAAGGGCATTTATTAACAAGCTTGAAATAATTGTACATTATTTATAAGTGTACATGTCATAAAGAATGTACGACCGCTTTGTTAATCAATGCCGGGCACTCGTTAACAATACCCTAAGAAATAACACAAAGCATCGATGTTACATAGTAGATAATGCAACGAACCCAATTTATTACTGAAACCTCCCTTGAATTTTGTTGGCAGGACACACACAGAGACACACAAACAAAAGCCAAAAGGGCAAGTATAAGATCAAGATCAACATCAACACTGGTTTTTACAGTAAACCCACAATCCGAAACAAATCAAAAACAAACCATAGTTCAAAGAAACAAAAAGATCATCAGATTCATAAACAAAAAAAACCCACAAAACCTCTCTAAGAACACACCCACACACACCCAAATGTACAGATTGAGAGAAACCCACCTCGATCGGAGCTCGAATGCTTGAATTTCTAGGAAGAGAGTGAAGAGGGCACTATGCAGATGGACATAAAAGCAAGAGAAACCCAGCCAATCACAGCCAGTGTCTGTGTAAACTAAAAAAAGAAGATGAACAAAGAGATGATGACAACATAACAGCTGGTCTTATATGTAATGCCAAAGTAGATTCCATTGAGATCCCTGTAACGTAATACATTTCAAAACTCTTACATACATATAAATGTATGTACATTGTGAAGGCTTTAGAGAAGAAGACGGAACTAGTCAAAACCCTTCTAGTTAAAACCTTGGATCATTATTCGGTTAATTTATTTTGTTTCGTAAATTTTTTTGATCTATAATTAAGGATTATAACCCACCATTTACGCCCCAATACATAACTTAAATACTAAAGTCCAGTATTGCTGAAGCCTCACGTAGCAATAAGAACCAATGACATCAAGACACATGGCAAGAGAATGGCAAGCCACATAAACAGACAAAGATCTGCAAAGTTATTGCCACTGCACATCGCCATTAATGAAACCCCTTACAGCATTTATTGCGATAACCCCTCTCTGTGGGACAGAACGCCTTCACCATGAACAAGGTGAGGTAGAGCATAGACTTTCGGCCAAAGTGACAGGTCAGAAGGAACAACGAAATGATTACCAGAGGATATAAGCAGACGTCGAAGACAAGAAGAAGGTTAAGCTTTCTAACCCTAATCTATCTCTACATTCCACCTCTTTCTCTCTAACTTGCTCGTCGGAGGGTTCGCTGGGGGACTCTCCGTTCCCCGTTGAACTCTTGTGCAGGTTCCTCTATGGGCTGGGTCACTCGGACACCGGTTTGGGAAGCGTGGATCAGTCCGACCCATTCCGTCTGGAATCCGTAGTATCATCAGTTGGCGCCGTCTGTGGGAAAGTTTTTGTTCCGCGCGCCAGTTGTGCTCATTGTTGCCAGAAACCCTCTCCCTATAACACCCTTCTACCACCAGTGAAGGTGGATGGTCACAACTAGATTCATGGCTTCTCACCCCAATGTTGCCGATCATCAAGCCAACCATCCCAATCCAAATAACCCACCACAGTATTTCACCGAGCTCACCAACAGCATTAACCGCCTAGCCGAGCAAAACCAAACCCTGACTAATGCTCTACTCCAAAGAAACCTTCATATGCCTCTTCTACCACCTCCAGATATCTCATCCAACCAAGAATGAGCCCCGAGCCATACTGTCCAACAACTTAATCCACCCAACTTGGAAGGCTTGCAACCCCCTTTCCCAAGTATAAACCTGCCACCCCGAGGCCCACATCCATCGATCCCGGCACCAACCCCCGAAGGAGAGGCCAGCAGCGTCTAACCCCCGCTGCCTTCCAGTGGTGACAACATTCCTCTCTAGGACGCAGAACTCCGAGCCATGAAGTTCCAACTCCAAGGGGCCATGTAGAACATACAACATAAACCATCTACCACAGCCAACTCCCCATTTGTTGTCTCCATCAGGGACAAACCTCTACCTCCTAAGTTCAAAATGCCCACGATCGACTCTTTTGACAGTACAACGAACCCAGTCGATCACTTGGAGACCTACAGAACCCTCATGATCCTCCATTCATTCTCCGATGAAATCATGTGTCGGGCTTTCCCCGTGACACTCAAGGGGTCGGCTCAACTCTGGTTTAGTCAACTGCCAGCGGACTCTGTCTCCACTTTTCAGCACCTCAATGACTCCTTTCTCAGCCATTTCATTAGAGCCCAGCGTCAGCGGCGTCCGGCAACCCAGCTCCTCAACATCCGTCAAACTGAGGGGGAGTCGCTGCGCAGCTTTGTCACCCGCTTCAACACCGAAGCCCTGCAGGTGGCAGAAAATGATGACAAGGTCATCCTCACGGCATTCATAGCCGGCCTACGATCATCTGATTTCCTTTTCTCCCTCTCAAAAAACCCCCCGACCTCCATGGCAGCCCTTCTTTCCAAAGCCCAAAAATACATGAACGCAGAAGATTCCCTAGCCGCTCGTCAAGACCCTACAGCCAAAAACCCGACCCCAAGAGAGAAGAAAAAGGACTCAGAAACCAGAAACACCCAATACAATAACCAAACGCCTCAGTCTACCGACCGACCCCCCCGAGCCGACCGGTCAGCAATAGCCCGACCGCCCGGCCAGTTCGAACGTTACAAATGCATAATTCCCCCATGGAACAAGTCCTCAATCAGATCCAACGAGACTGCCCCCTGAAATGACCCCAACCATCACGGTCTCCTTCCAATCAGCGAGACCAGTCCAAATATTGCCGTTTTCACCAGGACCACGGTCATAATACCGAGGAGTATGTTAACCTCAAAGATCAGGTCGAGGGCTTGATACGTCAAGGACGTCTAAGTCGGTTCACGAAAACCCGCCCTCAGCAAAGGCAAAGAACTGAACCCATCAGAAACAACCGTTGTGCACTCCTCCCTAGCAACCGGCACAACCTAACCCTGGCCATGATCGCCCTCCACAGCAACCCCGAGCATAAGGTAACCCCGCCCCTCCTGTCGGAGAACTCAGAGTCATAGCCGGCGGGCTTGCTTGTGGAGACCCATCCCGCTCGGCTCAACGGGCAGAACTCAGAAAAATAAGACAGGGCTCAGACAAAGAAGTTGTCACATTAGACCGCCCTCCCAAACAGCCCAAGCAGTGGATGGAGCCTATCACCTTTACAGAAGCCGACTACACAGGCATCTGTTACCCCCATGACGACCCCCTCGTCATTTCTGCCCTCTTCTCCAATTACAAAGTTAGATGAGTCCTCGTCAACAATGGCAATTCTTCAGACATCATCTTCCTAAATGCTTTCCGCCAGCTCAAGATCGGGGAGGAAAGTCTGTCTCCTCTCCAAACCCCGTTGGTCGATTTCACTGGAGACCGGGTGACCTCCATCGACTCCATCGATCTTCCTATCACAATCGGCGAATACCCGCAGCAGACCACAAAGTTACTCACCTTCCTTGTTGTCGACTGCCCCTCTGCTTACAATATCATCCTTGGCTGCACCGCCCTAAATGCCTTCCAAGCTATCACATCCACTTTCCATCTTGCCATCAAGTTCCCCACCGATCTTGGAGTCGGCACAGTGAGGGGAGAGCAGACCATGGCTAGAGAGTGTTATGTCACCTCACTTAAAGAAGTCAAGCTTAAGGAGGCTATGATCATTGAAAGACTAGACGTCAGAGACGAGAACGAGCTGGTCAGAGGGGAACCAGTGGAAGAGCTCATCGAGGTCCTCATCGATCCCACCAACCCGGCAAAAACTGCCAAGATCGGCAGCCAACTATCCTCCCAGGCCAAGGCTGACCTCACCGCCTTCCTGATTGAGCACAACGAAGTATTTTCCTGGACCCACTCCGATATGCCAAGTATTGACCCCTCCTTCATCACCCACCGTCTCAGCATTGAGCCCCATTTCCGGCCCATCTGCCAGAAGCAGTGCATCTTTCACCCAGAGCGTAATAACCTTATTGCTTTTGAAGTAGATAAGCTCCTTGAGACACAGTTTATCACAAATGTGGATTACCCCAGATGACTGTCGAATGTGGTTCTGGTTCGTAAAAATAATGGTAAATGGCGACTCTGTGTCGACTACTCCGACCTCAACTGAGCTTGCCCCAAAGACAGCTATACTCTTCCTCGCATAGATCTGCTGGTTGACGCCACGACCGACCATCAAATGCTCAGTTTCATGGATGCCTTCTCTAGATACAACCAAATTCTGATGCACCTGTCTAACCAGGAACACACCTCTTTCATCACCGACTGGGGAACCTACCATTACCATGTGATGCCATTTGGGTTGAAAAATGCAGGAGCCACTTACCAACGGTTGGTCAATGTCGTCTTTCATCACTAGATAGGCCGGAACGTGGAAGTATATGTCGACGACATGCTAGTCAAGAGCAAGCTCTCCACTAATCATCTAGCCGACCTGCGAGAGACCTTCACCACCCTACGAAAGCATCAAATGAAGCTCAATCCGGAGAAATGCCCATTCGGCGTAGGATCTGGAAAGTTCTTGGGTTTCATGGTCAGTCAGCGGGGCATCGAAGCTAACCCTGAAAAGATCAAGGCCTTAATTGAAATGCAGTCACCCAGAACGGTTAAGGAGGTTCAGAGGCTTACTGGCAGAGTTGCCGCCCTCAACCGCTTCATTTCCCACGCAACGGACAAGTGCCTCCCCTTCTTCAAAGTTCTTCGGCAAATTTTTGAGTGGACAGCAGAATCCGAAGAGGCCTTTCAGCAGTTGAAACAGTGCATGGCCAACCCTCCTTACTTTCTCAAGCAATCACGGGCGAACCCCTCTTCATCTATTTAGCCGTGTCAAACACCGCAGTCAGTGCAGCACTCATCAGGGAGGACAGCTCTGTCCAACGACCGGTCTACTACATCAGTCGGGCTCTCAGAGGCGTGGAACAAAATTATCCATTGTTAGAAAAAATGTCATTGGCTTTGGTCACCGCCTCTAGACGACTCCGTCCTTATTTCCAAGCCGATTCCATAGTGGACCTCACTGACCAACCATTGAAGAAGATAATGCAACAACCAGAGCTTTCCGGCAGACTTATACAATGGTCGGTCGAGCTCAGCCAATTTGACATCTCCTACCGGCCTCGAACGGCGATTAAAGGGCAGGCTGTTGCCGATTTCATCCTGGAATTCACTAATCCCACTCCAACCATAGCTCCTCCGTCCCCACCACCCTTTACCGAGCCAGAAGACCCCCATTCTTGGACTCTCAACGTCGATGGATCATCTCGCAAAGAAGGCAAAGGGTTGGTCTCATCCTCACCGCTCCTGAGGGTGGTTATTTCAAATATACTCTCCGCTTCTTGTTCAACGCAAGTAATAATGAAGCTGAATATGAAGCATTGATCGCAGGTCTTTGCCTCGCCAAAGACATTGGTGTCAGCCACATCCAAGTGTTCAGCGATTCCCAGCTCATTGTCGGACAAATCACGGGGGAATTCGATGCCAAAGAAGACACAATGCGGGCTTATAGGGATATCGCACTCCCTCTCGCTCGCCTCTTCAATAATTTCCACATCAAGCGTATCCCTCGGATGGAAAAATCCAAAGCAGATGAAATGGCTCAGTTAGCTTCGGCAGACCAGTCAGACCTCAGCCACGGTGTTTGCCTCGAGTACTTGGCCCACCCTGCCATTTCCCCAACTTAGCAGTAAGTTTG